CCCTTCTATTTTAACATAATTTTTATTAATTTCTATTATAGGTAGTTCATCCTCTTCTCCTTTTACTATATAGCTTCTTTCTTCAATTGCTTCTTCGAATTCATATTCTTCCTCATCGTCATTATTTCCTTCACTGTCACTTTTATTCTCTAGGAGTACAGGCTTTTCTATGATATATATCATATTCTCCCAACAGATAATTGTTATTTCATACTTACTGCTATTCTATTCATATTTAAACTTTCTGTTTTCTAAGTCAATTTTTCCTTTTACTTTTGCCAACCAATTTGTTTCTATGATTACAGTATAATTTCTTGCTTCAGTAATTTCAACATCGATAGGTATTATTATATTGTTTACTTTGATAGATAAGCTTTTTACAACTTCTAATAGGTATTTTCTTTGTCTATATATGTCAATTAGGTTTCTAACTGAGGGTTTATTGATATTTTTTCTGATTCATTTCAGGAATTCTTGTGATACTAAGCTCTTACTAGAGCCTGTATCTAATATAAGGTAAATAAGTTGTTGTTCTATAACAGCCTTGCAATATGTTACTTCTATAGGTAGTAGAGAAACATCCTGCATTCCAACATTGCTATTTAGAATTAAAGGTAGTGACAAATTACCAAGTACTAGTTGGTCCAATAAACTAAAATCATTACTTGAGAGGTTGATAACATTTTATCTTTGGCATTCTTACCCTTACGAGAAGTAGCCCGAGTTAGTTTAAATGTTTTCAGACTGCTGTAGTAATGATGCAGTTAGCTCTTCTGCAGATATAGCGATATAGATCTAGTTTTGATTATTTTCTTTCTGATTACTATTATTGCTGTCATTATTACTATTGGTTCTATTAGAGCTGGGTTAAATAGAATTGCTTCTAGCCTGATTATTTAACCTAGTTATTAGTCAATTCTGTTCTAAATACCCATTATTATTATTAGATTCTGGGAAATGTATTAGATATTATACCACAATATGATCACACTTCCATATTGATAACATAACATTTAATATTAGAGTTGGGGAGTATGATTGATTAGAACTAGATCAAGATGGGCGCAGTTGATCTGAATTGGGTTGAGATTGCTTATTCGAAGAACTATTGATAAAATTAAGACTTCTACTTTAACTTTGAATTAGTGTTTTTATGTTCTGAGCTATTTTCATAATAGCCTTTTTTAACTTCTCTATTTTTTCATTATTAGAGCTTTCACGATTCAGGTAACTACATTTTAAGAAATATGAGCTTAGAGGTTCTCCTCTTGAATACGCTGCTTCAGCAGCTTTGGCTTTTTTTAATGCTTGTTCAAGGGTCATTGCGTATTCTATTTTCATAGGCTCTCTCAATTCTTGTCTTAATCTATTGGTAAATTGTTGGATATGGTCAATTTGGAGATAACATTACATAGGATCTGCCTTTCTGTACAATCTTTCTAATTCATCATAGTATTTGTCTACTGTTTTTTTCAGCTCTTGTTAATGTGACTGGAGTTCGGCAACCCACCAGTTTTTGCTGATGCATGGTGCAAAATTGGCATTGAAACAGATGAACAAAAGAATATTGCAGTTGGGTATAATCGTTCCAGGTTTGTACAGTTTGTGCAATACTTCTCTATCATGTGTAAGCTGTTTCCTTCAAGTATAATAGCAAAACATCAAACCTTCTTGGTTTAGTAATATAATTTGCTACACATGCCTTGTCAAATTCATCTAGCCAGGTGAAAGGGTTTTGGTCACCTCTACTATACGTTAGAAAATTTACTACCTTAGACTCTCTGGGTGAGCAATTGGTGTTATTCTCTAGCATAAGTATGAAGTTATTCATACTCTGTAATAGCTGGTTCATAGGGTTTGTGCCATTGTCTTCCAGGGCCAATTGGGTTGAGGTTGGGGTTGCCTATCTTGTAGAGGATTTTGTATTGGTTGGTCTCTTGGTAGAGATATCTATGATTATAGATGTTTCATCTTTAAGGTGAAAGTATTCTAGCTAGGGTAAGAGGGTATCTTTGAGGTGGAAGACTTTGTATTTCAAAACAGACATATGGATTTTGTATGAAACGATTATTTTCTGACTAGATTTCTAGTTCTAATAGATCTACAATGAGATTAAGAACAACTTGTGGTCTTTCATAATTATAGACATAAGTTCTTTCAGCTTTTCGATGTAGATATCAGTTTTTATATTCGTTTTGATCTTCCTTATTACCATACCGATTATCCACTACAATATTATGTAAAAATAGAACTGGTTCAATATCAGGATCTTGAACAATAATGCATTCTTCATCATCATCATCTTTATCAGGGCAGGCTTCGTATAGGTATGGAGTGGCTGTCTTTTGATCTGAGTAGGTTCAATCGATATATCTCTATTGGACTCCAAAATCTATAAGATCATCAAAACTATCTGACCTTCTATTTTGAGAGTCTGGCCGTACATCTTGATCCTCATATCAGGTAGATTTTCATATTGTGGTAACAGAAGTTTCAGCATGTAGGCTAGTGGCTATATCTAGAGTTGCTGAGTTAGATATATTTTTTGGATCGTTAGGTGAGGTAAATGAGATTTCGGATCAGGTAGTAGTGTCTAATTCACTATCAATTAGGTCAGAGAAAATATGTATTCTTGGATAGTTCATACAATGTTTCTAAAAAAATTTTCTCTCTTAGGCAACCCGGTCCTGTCATCGTCATCAAATGTAATCAAAATATTCGATTATAAGATTTTGAGTTAGATTTTTAAAAGAATTTTTATTTTTATTTGAACTTTTATTAAGATAAGTATTAGAGGTATTGAAATCTGTCTCTACAAAGTCTTTTTATATCAGTTTTTATAATATTCTTCCTTACTAACACTTAACTATTTTTAGGTTCTATTTATTAAACTACTTTGACTCCTAGTTTAAGATTTATTTACTATCGATACTATATATAATGATTTATGTATAATGATTATATGCATAATGATTATGTATAATGATCGTATGTATAATGACATTATGCATGACGATTTATACTACTGTAACTATTATAATTTATACATAGTTAAATAAATAAATAAATAAATAGTCTTCTAAATAATAATAAAATAAACAGTTAATAAATAAAAAAGTAAAATAGGGTTAAATAGCCATTGAATAACAAGTTCATCAAGATATCATGATTGTCATCATGGTCATATGATCATTATAATGCATCAGTATCACATAATACTATTGTTCTTAAGGATATAGTAAATGATTATATTACAATATATTTAGAGTATATATACTGACGAAATTATTTTGGGTTTCAGAATACAAAATTAAAATTTGAAGACAAAATTGTTTTTGATCTATTTTACTTAAAAGACAAAATTTTTTGACACTTTTTTTGAAGAGACGAAATTATAAAGAATATAACTACCTAAATTAGATTTGCTCTTGCATAGGGTTTTTTGAAAACCTATTTCAGTAGCATGTATAATTCAAAGTAACATATATATAATATAAAGCTAGTAATAACTATAAATAGTCATCTAAATCAAATCTATTAGTTTTTAGTTTTTTTTTTATTATTTTTTTTTGTATATATACCTTCAAATTCAAATATAATTTGAATTAATATTAGTTTATATCATCTTGTATTTATAAACTTTTAGATTTAATAGATATTATACAAACTTTCAAATTTTGATAAATATAAGCTTATATTATACAAACTTCTATTTTCAAATATAGATATTACAAAACAATTCAAAAAATATATTTATTTAGTAAAAAATGTTTTTTGTTAAATCTTGGTACTATATATACTTCTTTATAAATGAAACCTATTGAAATTATATTATAGTATTTTTAAAAAAGAGCTGTAGATAACTATATAGCTCTGGTTCACTTGGCTTAATATTATACCAACGAATTATTGCAAGGTTATATAGATCTTTTGCTGATCCCTAAAAGCATCTTAGAAAAATTAGGATCTTTTTATATCATATATGTAATATGATATCCAGGTTGTTAAACAAAGGTGAGTATATTTTATTTACTTGTTTCTTTTATATTTTTATATCACTTCTACTAACCCTCTTTATAGCTACATTTTTAATGCAAATATTTAATCTATTTACTCGTACTTTTATGTCTTGATCCTGATATTACTATATTATTACCTAATACTTGCTTAATAGTCAGGTTACAGTTCATGTTTGTCATGATCATTATGATCATTATAATCATTGCTACAATTATCATGATTATCATGATCATCATGATCATTATACAGGTTACATTCATCACACGAATCACAATCGTTATACGAATTACACTTGAGATAATCTATTTCTCTATACTTTTCACTACTTAAAGATAAATCTAATTTCTTTTTAAAGTCATCAACTAACCACCCACAATTTTCAAGATTTTTAAGAGGCTCCTATTTAGTATTATATAAGAGATAATCCTTCTACTTTACCAGATATTGTATTTAATAGTGATAACTTTTCTTGTCCAAAATGGCTTTAACTTCATATTCTGCATCTATGTTCAAATCTATTAACAAAGATGATAGTGGTGGAGTTGCTTTTCCTTCAAAGTTGTTGTGATGATAAGGTTTTAAGCAAGAAACATAAAATACTAGATTGTTAGGTAGTTGTAGTTTGTAAGTGGTAAAAGAAATTACTTTCATAATTTTAAATAGACTAATATACTTTGGTATAAGCTTCTTTGATTTTTTTTAAATTATCTTGTAATGTTAGGTTTGTCACATTTACTATACCTTCTTCTCCTCTTTTAGCTTACAAAACTGTCTTCTTTTATTCATATTTGTCTTTTGTCTTTCTTGTGCTTCTACTAACATATTCTTAGCTATATTTAACATTGTAGACTAGTGCTGGTGCAGCTTATCAACAGCCTTTATGTTTATATTTGTGACCTTTTTTACTAACATACTACTAGGTGTAAGTAGGTGATATCTATGATCTAGCTGAAAAGGAGTAAAATCTGTTGATGCTTGGTAAGTATTGTTGTATACAAATTCTGCTATAGTCAAAATTTGTTTTCAATTATTTTGTTTATAATTGACGTAGGCACATAAGACTTTTTCTAATGTATGGTTAGTTCATTTTGTTTGTCTATCTGTTTGAGAATAATTTGATATTGATATTTTCAATTCTGTTTTTATTAGTTTGAAGAGTTCTTTTCAAAATATACCTATAAATTTTGGGTCATGATCTGATAGGATACTTTTGAACAATCTGTGATGCTTGAATATTTCTTGAAAAAAAACTTGTGTCACTTCTAGAGCTATCACAGTGGTTCTGGTTAGTAAAAATCTTGCCCTTTTATTTAGTTTATCCACAACTACCAAAATTAAATCATTCTCACTCTTAGTTTGTAAAAAGTGCATTATGAAATCAATTGAAATCGTTTCCCAAAGTTGAGCTGGTATTTTGAGAAGTTGCAATAACCTGCCAGTGCTTGATCGGAACTCTTATTTCTTTGGTAGCTATCACATATATATATGTAATTTCTTATGTCTTTGCTTATTCCTTTCCAATAGTAATTTTATTTGATATATTTATAGATTTTTTCAAACCCAAAGTGCTTACTCTTATCATGATGCTCTTTGAGCAATATTTTTTAAACTTTTAATTTTTTTACAATGCATAATTGTTGAACTTCTAGATTTTTGACAAAAAATAATAATCCATTCTGTAATTTATATCAAACTAGTTGTTTTTCTAACTGTTTCACTTCCTTATTCTCAAGTACTGTTAAAACCTTTTTAAAATATATATCCTTTGTATATTTTTCTTTAATTTTTTTATAAATTTCTGTATTTATCCTAATTGCACTAATAATATTTGTTTTAGGCTTTCTTGAAAAGGCATCTGCTATCATATTTATCTTGTTCAGCTGATACTTAATTGTAAAGTCTTAGGCTTGTAGGATTTTTAACTATTTTACTTGTCTTCTTGACAGTTTGATCTGGGTTTGCAAATATTTCAGTAATGTATGATCAGTTATGATTTTAAAATGTCAGCTCTCTAAGTATACATGCTATATTTTAAGTATATGTATAATTGCTAATAATTCTTTTTCATATATAGGATAGTTTAATTTGGCCAGTATTAACTTCCGTGACTCAAACACTACCAGTTGTTTACCTATTCCTTGATTTTGTGTTAATACAGCTTCAATCGCTATATCTGATGCATCTGTTGTGACTATAAATATTTTACTAAGGTCTAGTACTAACAATACTAAAGGTGATATTAAAATTTTCTTAAAATTTTCAAAGATGTTATTTTGCTCTTCCTTTTATTTAAATAGTTGTTCTTTATGAAGCAATTTAGTTAATAGTATCGCTATTTTTAAAAATCTGCCATGAATTTTTAATAGTAACTAGCAAGATCTAAGAAAGATTTAACTTCATACATATTGGTAAGCATTGGCCATTCTTGTATTATTTTAATTTTCTTTGAGTCAGCTTTAATTCCTTTATGTGTGATTATATAACCCAAAAATTTTATCTTCTGTTTTTCTTACTCACATTTGGTTATTTTTCTATATAGTTTATAACTTTGAAGTATGTCAAGTACTTGTCATATATGCTGACAATATTCTTCTTTTGTTCTACTATATATTAATATTTTATTCAAATAGACAATAACACTTTTGTCTAACTGTTCTCAAAAAATATCATTTATCAATTGCATGAATGAGACAGGAGCATTTGTTAATCCAAATAGCATAACCTGAAATTCGAAATACCTGTATCTCATACAAAAAGCAGTTTTTGGAACATCCTTTTCTTTTACCTTTATTTGATGGTATCCTAAATAAAGATTGATCTTAGAAAAGTACTTGGTGCTATGTAATTGATCTAGCAAATCGTCAATGCATGGTAAGGGATACTGATTTTTAACTATTATCTTATTCAAAGCTCTGTAATCAACGTATATCCTTAATGTTCTATCTTTCTTTGATATGAATAATACAGGGTACATATAGTGCTACGCTTGGCCTAATAATATCTTTTTTTTAAGAAATTTTCAATTTGTACTTTTAATTCTTTCATTTCTAAAACTGACATACAATACGTGAGTCCAAAAGGTGGTTGTGACTCTTCTTTTAACTGAATTTCATGATCCACGCTTCTTTCTGGTAGTAATTTTTTAAAAAGTTCTTCTGAAAATACTTCTTGATATTCCTTTATCAAGCTTTTCAGAAATTTTAGTACTGACCATTGAATTTCATGAGCTGCTAACTCCTCATGATTACTTGTAAATACTGCAAATAATTTGTTGCTAGCCTTCACTTCTTGTGAAAATTGTTGACGAGATATTAAGATTAACTGACATGTCTTTATATCTTTTGATATATCTGCTTCTAGATTATACTGATACTGATCTTTTTTGATTTTGATTTAATTATTTTTCTAATTAATTTTTGAATTCAAATCATATAGCCACAGTCTTTCCAAAATTAAGTCATATTTTTGAAGTGGTAAGATTTCAATATTTTTTCTTATATCTTTATAATTTTGTATCTCCAGAGATATAGTCACTACACTTTCTTGGGACTCATATCGTGTTCCATCTGCTAATTCAATAATTTCTATTTCTTTTTGTTCTGCTTTATTGAGGTTTGTCTTTCTTGCAAAAGTTGAATTAATAAAATCTTTTGAAGCTCTGAGTCAATAAAAATTAATGCTTTCCGCCCTTGGATATTTCTCTTTAATTTAAGAAGACTTTCTCTATAAGCTTTATTATCTTTCTTATTATTAATCTTCTTATCTGTTTCTTTATCTTTGATCTTTATTTGATTTATTTCTTCCTTTTTTGTTCCTTTTTTTTGACAATCTCTTGTCTAATACACTTTTTTCTATACACAAAATATTGTTTATTCTTTTTGAAAGCTTGTTTTAGTTTGTTGGTTAATGCTCTTTTTAAATTTTCTTTTATAGGGGTTATTCAGCTATTATCTTTAGTTTCTACCTATCCAATTTTATCAATACAGGGTCTTGATCTGTAAACATTTCAAAAGATTGTCTTTTCTTTTCTGCTTTTCTTGAATACACCTATCTATTAGCTTCTACCTTATTGTGTTCGGGTTTGGTTGACTTATACATTAATATATTATAACTAGTGACAAGCTTTATGACTTCATCCAATGTTTCAGGGGCCTGATAATTGACTTCAGCTTTTGTAGCTCCTTTTAGTCCCTCTGTAAAATATATCACTTTATCAGCTTCATACATTTCCTCGATCTGTCTCAACAGATTTCTAAAATATAATGTATACTCTTGAACTGATGATATTTGAGACCTGCTAAGGTAAAACCTGCAATTGTTAGTTTTTTGAAATTTCATTTTTAGCAATAGTTTATAAAAATCTGATTTTATCTGTTTTTAAAAGTAAAATTTCTGAAAATCAAGAATTATAGATTTTATCTTGGTAGGTCTTATTTGTCTAAGGTCTCTTAACTATTGTCATAAGAGTTGCTAGTAGTGTGGAGGCTAGAAAGCAGTTTTGATTTCTTCTATAAATGATATTCAATTTTCAAAAGAGCTTTTTTCATAATGGGTCTGAATTTGATTTAGATACCACTATAACGCAGCATCTTTTAACTCTATTATAATATACTGTAACCTCTCTTCATCTTCTACCTATGAGCCTTAAAAAGAAGATCGACCTGTAGTAGCCATGTTAAAATATTTTTACT